CTCTTGCGCTTCATCTTTATTCACGACCTGACCTGTCCTGTGCTTCTCTAGGGCAATGACCTCTGTGTGCATTCCCTCGAACGTGGCATCCACATCTAATGGACCTTCACCTATATCTGAAGTCGCTCTTGATGGCTTTCGGAGTACAATCCATCTACCTCCAAACCACACTTTGCACGAATCGGCCTTCGCGTCGAACTTGGACTCCTCGGTTTCCTTTGGAACCTTCCTGCTGTACTCAAGTACCCCCTCTTGAACTGATGACAAGAACCTTTCAACCTCATCATCCGAACATCTTGACAAGGGGTCTTTCACCTTTTCCCACAACTCTTTACCTAGATCTGATAAGCTCGCAATGGCATTACCTTGATGATCATACATGTAGAGCTAATTGATTGGCAATTCGGTAAACCCTTTCCAATGACGCCTCAATGGCGCGGTCTGGGTTCCGAACTCACTGACATGGACCTTGAACTGGTCCCTTGGAATCTCATCGACTGGCCTTTCATCAACAGCATCGACGTAGTACGTCCTCTGAATACCTACCAGCTGATCCTCATGCATCGGCAATGGCAGTGATGATGCTGCAAAAACACATTTTCGACTTCTGTGGTGAACTCTTCTCAACACAAGCTTGTCAAGGTCAACTTCCCAATGGTCATGATTTCGGTTCTTTCCTCCTCTTGGGATTTTCTGGAACAAATCAATGTCCATGGGACTCTCCCCGGGTGATTCGGGTGCTCTGTACCCTTCCGGTACTTCTGTTGGCTCATAGCCTTCACTCATCCGATCATCCTCGATAGGTTCCGGATTCTTTCCGATCTCATATGGATTCGTTGGATCCTCTTGCATTGGCGTCGGTTCGGTATCCGCTTCCTGTCCCTTTGGCGCATGGAACGGAACATCATCAAACTCTGGAAATCTCTCTCCAGTCTCTTTCTCTTCATGCTCGCGATGAAATCTATCCCACTCATCATCGATAGACTTTCTTTTCCTCTTCTCTCGTTCTGACTCTGATTCTGGAACTCTTTCTCCCGACTCTTGCTGAGATTCAGGCTTTCCTTCGGTATCTAAGCCTTCTTCCAATCCTTCAGGCACGACGGGCACAGACGACTCGTCTTCGATCGGTACTATCCGTTTGTACTCTTCTTCCAGATACTTCTTGTAACGGTTCCGACACTTCACTGAATGACCTGTTTCACTCCCGTTCGAACAAGCTGGACATCTCGAAGTCTTATTCACTTCACTCCAATACCAAGGTGGTTCCCCTTCATGGATAGGCAAATCAACCAACTTCTGGGGTTTCGAAAGATCATTCGGTAGTCTTTCAATCCTGTCTGGCTTCACTCCACTCTTGGAATTCGGAATTTCACACAACATCCCGAGTCCAGCGACAAAACGAATCGGTGAGGCAATCTTCAAGTCTCGAACAGGCACAACCACAGTCTCATCCTGTGAACCTTCGAAGGCAACGAAGTGACCTAACGAAGATAACTTCCCTAAAGACCCTCTAAGACAAAAAACTAACTTATCTCTAAATCTTGTGAATCTAACTAATTCGTCAAATTCGTTTTGTCTAAGACAACAAAATTTTTGTCTAAGTCAATTTTTTTTGGTTGTCTAAGGCTTGTTTTTCACATGCAAAAAAAATTGACTTAGACAAAAAATTTTTTAACTTAGACAAAAAATAGTCTAAGTTAATTTGAAACTTCCTCGCAAAACTGCCTCCAAACTTCCTCGCCCGTCTTTTCCTGCTATATGAGGGCCCGACAGCAGCTATATGCTACTACTACTACTACTTCTACTACTACTACTTCTCTACAAAAGGTGCGGAAAAGCCACAAGGAAGTTCAAAGGAAGATTGCCAAAAAAGCAAAGGAAGTTCAAAGGAAGTTTAAAGGAAGTTCAAAGGAATTTTGGCAATGAGCAGAGGAAGTTCAAAGGCAGTTTGCCCATGAGGCAGAGGAAGTTTCGAGGAAACTTCCTTGAAACTCCCTCGTCTGCCGAGGAGCTTTCTGCTGTCTAAGACAAAAAATTTGTCTAATTTGTAAAGATAAAGTTGTCTTAGACAACGGGGAGTTTAAAAAAAATGTCTAAGTTAAAAAAACAAAAATCTAACTAATAGTTAGATTTTTGTTTTTTAACTATTAGTTAAGTTTTTGTCTTAGCGGGTCTTTAGGGTTTGGGGTCAAGTAAATGCCTGGAACAAAGTGACGAGCGTTTGCTTCTCTGACCTTTTCCAAGTACCCATCAGTCGGCCTGGCAAAAACCAAACATCCAAATGGCATCACACGATTGGTGCTTGGGACTTCTCCTGAACTAGTTACACTGATGCGCATGCGTTGATACGGTGTCAGCGAACTGTTGGCTTGCAACTGAAATGCATTGTGGACATGGCAAGCGTTTGCTGCGGCGTATCGAAGGCTTTCACTACCTAGCATCAACCCGTGCTGGTACAATACTGTACGAATACATCCTAGTTGAGTCTTGAGGGTCCTTACTGCTCTCTCGGCTCCAGTTGCGTGTCTTCCTGGACGACTGGTTTCATGTCTTGAGATGACCTTCAATCGAATGAGTTCCGAAATGAGCGCAGTCAAGTCACGGCCTTCATCACTGAGAACCATCGCACCTGTGGACGAACAATGGTTGATGGCAGCTGTCAAAACACGAATCGTTGAAGCTTGGTCTACATAGATTGCAGCTGTTGCGATCATTCCGTGCGTTCGATTCCACATCACAACATACCTATACATGTTTGGAGACTTTGGATGGGTGCATAGGTTGGCAATATCCATCTGGATCTCGTTGGTGACTTGATCTGTACGTTTTGGTGCTCGTTTCAATCCCTTGCTCATGAGACAGACTGCACAGCTTGGATCATAAGGTGTGTGACTCTGCAAAATGTGCTTAGCTAGTCTGTTACCTCGTAGCTCGATGGGATATTCGAACTCGAACTCAGGCTCTGACTCAACGGTGCAAACGATTTCCTTTTTGCGCACGACGTCGAATGCTGGATTCGAAAAATGCGCTCTGGCTCTTATCGGCGGCTCGACTCCCCTTTTGGGAGGAACCTGGACGCTCTGGATATCGTGTTCTCCTTCGCATCCGACGCTTCGGACATCGCGTCCTACTTCGCGTCTTCCTTCTTGTCCGAAAACTTGGACAGATGCTCCTGCAGTTGCTTGCGGTACGCAATCTCTTCCTCGGACAATGGCGTCTGAAGCGCTTCTGGCGGCGTAGCGGGACTCTCTTCCACCATCGCTGTCGGTTCCGATATTGCCTTTCCGCAAGGCTCCACAGCTGTCCACTGTACAGCTGTGTAGTCAACGATAGCTTCCAGCTCTCGTGAGTACCGACAGCTCTCGTAGGTTCATGAGACTTGTTGTACATATGACCGCAAGGTTATATGATTGATTTGATTGCAGAACGTCAACTCTTTCCAGGCGTAGGCTCATGCTACCATGAAGGCTTGCGCACAAACGCTATACATGGTTGTGAAGGGCTTGCTCTCAGCAGGACAGCTTTGAACGACAAAGCTAGTGTTCTGAATAAAGCGCTCCTTGCAAAGTAGGGCTGCTTTGAACAACACAGCTCCACGCTGCCTACTTAACTCCTGTCTGGTCTCACCTCTTATGTGTACATGACTGACATATTTGGCTCAAGCCTGGAAAAGCAACCACTTGCTTGCGTGCTCCATAGAACCTATAAGGTTTGTGAACAAGGATATAAATCCAAAAAATCATTGCGTTTGTATGTGTGTACGCACACCAACATACAACTACCTAACCCCCGTTTACCTTTGACCATATAGGTGACCGCCGTGACCGTTGTCGTTTTTGCGCTGCTTGTTGGGATTGGACATGTTTTTCCCAAGGCTCTCTTGGAGCCACGCATTCAAAAAAAGATGCATGATTTGGCCCTCATGGAGGGCACTGAACCTGCGCAGCTCACGAGTTCACGAGCAACCTTGCAAGTTCCTACAGCCATTTTGGTGGCCAAGGTAGGTAGGCATGTAGAGGGATGGGGACTACCTGTCTCCCTATCTTGGCGGCAGTCTCCTGCAAGGTGGCTCGCAACTCAGCTTCCGATGCGTGGCAGGAATTTTTTCACCAGTTGCGCAGAGGCAGATCCGACCGCTGTCGCACGAAGGTCAGGGCCTGCCAACGCGCTGCCATCACGCTTGGAAGGTTCGGTGTCAGCAGAGCCAGTCTGAGTCATGAGCAGTGTTGGCAACTAACTGAAAGTGGTTTACCAACCCAGACTTCCAAGAATGCAGTTGATCAACCTCCATCCATTTGCCAAAAAGAGAGGCCCAAAAGTGGATCCGTCGCGACCCTTTCGTTAGCTTTCGTGTGCGCTCACCATGGCCTTGGTGGCTATCGGAGAACCAAAGTGGAAGTCATGCCGCCCCTAGCCAAAAAGAGTCCTTTTTACAACTTATGTGCACGAGGGATTGCAAAGGTTGTCGTGATTTTTCTGGATATTTCTGGATCATTGTGGGTTCTATCGCAAGAAAAATCTGAGGACATGGAAGGGTGCCCTGGAACAAGGCGCAGGTTGAGACTTGAAAGCACTCAACCCAAGATTTCATCTTTGTTGCGTTTTTCCTCCCAACCTCAAGCCCTGTTTCCCAATCTCGGTCCAATGAATCAGCCTTCAGGACGAGATGGCTGGCAGGATGTCTAAATGGATTCCTGAGCGTGCAGCCGCTTTGATTCGAGACTTTGGCCTTGCAGGGGGGTCCCTCGTCTTAGGCTGTGATGAGATCACAAGGCCAACCTGGAAAGAGCCTTGGCGAGTTGAAAGGGCCCCAAGTCCTAAGATATGGAGAGAGACATGTTGCATGGTTCTACATACATCTCTTGAAGTGTAGAATCCATGTTTATATACATAGCTACAAAAATATACATGTGTATAAATAAAAATATATATATATGGTTCAAAGTCACCCCAATCTCTGACTCTGGTTTCAGGTTTACATCCCAATCAAAAACTGTCAGGAGTGCTCTGCGAACTATGTGTGGCTACGGCCGCTTGTTGAGGCCTACCCTGAGCAGTGTCCAAGCGGGTTCTTCTTGGTCGATGCGCTCTTGGAGATGGACCGGCGCTTTGATGGGAAGCTCTTAGTGCTCCCGCCTGTGAATGGGCGCATGGTTGATACCCCCAATGACCAAAAGCTCGAGATGGCCACAACAGAGGTCAAAAAACTCAAAAAGCTGTACAGCGCTTTGAGATATTTATACCGGAATGGTTTCTCGGCTGTGACGTTGCAAGTTTTTTGAAGCATGTCTTTTTGTGTGTGAGGAGTGAAGTAGCTACTCGGCAAATTTCTTTTGGGGTGTGCGTCCTATATGTCCAGGACCGAAGGGCATGGATGATAGAGTCACCATCCTCAAGTCCTTCTTGAGGCCATCTCCATCTTCCAAGGCGACTTGAGATGGTGAAGTCAATCAAGTTTTTAATTTGCTACAGGGCTTCATGAAAAACAAAACTTGTTATAAGAGATACACCTGCCACCACCGCCCAGTCTCATCTGGTATACACAGGCCCGAGCAGCTGCGCGCCGAGAACAAGAACTTCGAGAGCAGGAGGACAGCCTTGAGATGAAGTGGGCCCAGCAACTCCAACCCGAACTCCATATCACCCTCAAAAAGGTTGTTTCAAAGCTAGGCCTAACCAAAAGGTGAAGGACTGCGTTTGTTGATGTTTGTTGAATCCTTACCGTGTTGGAACAAACAAGCTTTCACAAGACCATGGGAAGGAGAACCTCGAGGAGGAGGAGGAGGAGGAGTCTGATGAGGGCCCAGCTGATGAGGGCCCGGCTGATGAGCGCTCAGCTGATGACTCTGATGATCAGGAGCCTGAGGAGCATGAGTCTGAGTCTGAGGAGAACAAGTCCCATGCTGCTTCCCACGACGCACAAATGTCAAACAACGAGGAAAAGGGGGACCAAAAGATTGAACAGGGGGGAAAGAGTGTAAAAACCGAATGTTACCATCTCAATCGTTCCTCCTTTGTTGCTGTTTGCTTCAAAAGATGTTCATAACATTACCACGAGATGTTGAAAGGATTAAAACAGCTAAAGGTGTCACAAGTCCTCTCAACCTCTCAACCTCTCCTGGTTAACCAATATAAATGACAAGTGTTTATACTACTGTCGAGGAGTCCGGCAGCGACCCTGAGAGCGATTCCGACGTCGTGGTTGAGAAGTCAGAGGACGGCGTGCAGTTGGTGGAGCGCTCACCTTCCAGTTCAATTTCTCTACCTTCACCTTCGCCTTGTCAGTGTGGTGAGTCTATGTGCACGCATGACACACAGTGGCCAAAGCCAAACAAGGCAGAGTCAGAGACAGATGAGCCCATGTCTGATGTCAGCTCGCAAGCTACTTTGGCTTTGGATGGGGATGGGGATGTGGAGCCTCTTGCTCGCAAGCTTTTCCGCAAACGCAGCTGTGTGGATGTTGTTCAGGAGTCCATGAAGGACGCCGAGGTCCAAGGGTTGCAAAAAGGCGGTTGCCATGTTAAACTCTTACATGTAGAACCTTGGTGGGTTCAACAAAACGAGTGGTTGGTTGGTGCTGGTTTCTCATCTTCAAACCTTTTGCTCTTCAGCCCATCAAAAGGTGGACCACATGTCAGAGTTCTACGCATTGCTGGGGGAGCGTCACACAGATGAGAAGCCTAATCTACCTCCGCCGTTGAACTCAGTGAAGACACCTGTATTGCCCGAACCTTCCTTCATCGAGCAAATTGGTTTTCATTTGGTTGAAACACCTCCTCCATTTGTTGGTGCCCAGGCGCACTGGCATCAACAAGTTCCCAACTAAAATCACCTTTTGACCTTTATATATTAGTCTAGCTGGCTATTGCAACCATAACCATAGTAATATAGGGTTTACTTCGCAGCGCCCTGCTAATCTATGACCCCTGGCCAGGTGAAGCCCAAGACCAAACGGCCATCCTCTTCGACCAAGAAGCACAACAAATCGAAGAAGAATGGGAAGGCCAAGGCGTCCTTCAAGCGTGGCAGCAAGCCAAGCGGGAAGTCCAGCAAGATCAAGGACTCCAGGGTTTTCTTTCCTTTTGGTTGGAATGGGGTGGTCGCCAATCCCAAAGTATATGGTGGTTTCCAACCCACAGTTGTTGGTCTCCAATTTCACAAACAACTCCTTGAGGAGGGTGAATCTGGGGAGAAATTCTATGGCGCCTATTCCTTGACAGGGATCCCTGTCGCTGCAATGCCAGACCCGGAGAAACAACATCGAGGAGAACACTCGTACACGGTCGCTGCAATGGTGAACACGGCAGAGGGGCCTAGTGAGATTTTGGTCGATGTTTTGCTTCGGGATAAAGCTTTCTACATTAAGAAGGCTCCAGGTGGAAGCGGCCAAATCTCATGGAAGAAACATGGCGGTCCTGGAAATGCCTGGGCCATGACCTTGGAGCAGGCTGCAATTGGCAAGCCTGCAGCCAACCGGTGATCGCTATAACAACTCATGAGAAGGTTCATGATGTAACCTGTTCAGACTCAAGCGCGACAATGCAAGTGGTGCTTTTCACATATTGACTGTTATGGTTCTTTTCTCGTAGAAGCGGCGATCCGAGATGGCCTATTTCAAAAGCTATAGACGTTTGTAGGTTTGGGGATTCTGATCTATAGGGTGTGCAATTGCTGCGCCAGGATCAGTGATTGCAGGGTTGGTATAGACAGATCTCCTTAGCCCCGACCGCCAGCTCCAAAAGTCCATCTCTGAGTTTGTTGGTGAACCCCACACAGAGGCCCGCACAGGCCTCCTCCATGAAGCCTCATGCACTGCCAGCAGTGAACATCGTCGCGCCACACCTCTGCGGGCCAGGCGTGTCACACGTGAGCCAACAACATCATGCCAAGGCCGGCACTGCGGGAGTTTTTCGGTGGTTCGGGCGATCAGTCAACCTCTAGAGTGTACCTCTTTGCATCTCCAAGAGGTTTGGGATCAAGCTGCTCACAAGGTTCCCTACCCGACTGGTCCAAAACATGGGCAAGGGCATTTCCTACAACAGGATCAGGAAGGGCGTCGCCAAATTGCCTTCCATGAACAAATACTCAGATGATGGTGCCGGCAACACCTTTCGCCAAAAGCAGAAGCGGACTATCCTCGCTGGTTTGCGAGCCATGAAGGCACCAGTAGAGGCTTAGTTCAGTTCTGTAGCTTTTATATGTGATGGTTGTGGGGTGATCGTGTCAGTTCTCGATCGGCCCTTTCCTTTGTCGATAATCGTGTTCATAGTTCTGCCACTATATAAGCAAAGATATAATATAACGTATATACATATTTATATTTATATATGTGTATAGTATACATATGTATCAAACACAACTTCCTCCATGCTCCCTATTCTTTTGAGGTGGTTGGACTGCTGGTGTCCCTTTTGTTTTCACAGAAGGGATTGCCGTTCGAGCCTTTGGATCATGTGGAGTGCTTCGCTGGGGCGCGAGCAGTCACGCTAGGAGAGATTCAGGACTATATTATAGCTACTATAGTTTTGGAATGTTATGTTGTGTGTGTTGAAGGAAAACACAAGGTTCCCAAAGCTTTGGTTCCCTCATAGGTTTCTTAGCCGTCTGCAGGAATCTCGAAAGGCTGTAGCTTTGGACATCAAATATGATGGAGAGGGCATGAACATCCTATCGTCCGCCGGGTTCTTGCAGCACTTATACCAGGTGTGCCGACTTCCACCTGGAAGCGGAGCTCTTGTAGCTCCTGTGTGTTCAACCTTTGTTTTCATGAGTCTAAGCTGTTCACAACAAGGTTTTGGACTATCCCATTCCCCATCAAGTAGGTTGAATCGTTTGGGAAGAAGCAGTGCAAACCAACACTATGACCCATCCACTCCAAGGAGCAAAGGAACAACGAAGAGGTCAGCTATTCAACCAGAAGGAGATGTCTCGGCTCCATCGGTAAGGGCTGGAAATAAAATCCTTTGCCGGACACTGGTACTACTGTTCGTATGCGCTGCCCTCCAGGTTTGGTGGATACTGGAACAGCCTAAGGGCTCCTGTATGGAAGACCACCCAGCGTTTCAATACTTCATGCGGCAGGTCACAACATTCCGACATTACATGACCATGGACGAATACGGCGGGCCAACACAGAAGCCCACATGGCTCTACAGCGGTTCCTACTTGACATTCGTATATGTATGTTTCTATTTCTTTCGTTCGTAGCTGCAACAGGTCCCAGCTATATTTTTTCCAGACTTGAGCTTTTCATACTTGTATGTACATAGATTGTTTGGACCCTTTCTGGAACCCTTCTAGCAAAAAGAAAGGGGACCGTTGGGAACCTGCTCAAGTGGGCCCCCCGCTGTTGTCCAAGGCTTGAAATGCATCGAAGAGCTCTACAAGTTCAAACCCTTGCGTTTGCCACAGCATGTTGTCGAAGAGAAGCAAATGGTCGTCCACTACAAAGACAAGAACGGAGTTGACCGCATATGCGGAGGGAAGGACTTGAAAAGTAGTGAGAACTACCCGGCACAGTCCCTTGTCGTATACTAGTCTGGTTGCTCCTGAATTATCTAACCCATCCACCACCCATCTTTGGGTTGCCAGACGAGTCTTCGGCGTGTGCTTCCAATCCCGCTCCTGAGGTTTGGAGTGGCATTGGCTCGGCTTCGGACTCATCATGCGGCCCAAGTGAAGAAGAATGCTTTGAGGGTGGTGAAGAACAACTTGAAGGGCTGTTCTATGATCCCTTTGAACCACAGAGCCAGTCCTAGATGGATCAAGTGGGCTGAACTAGAGCCCGTCTTTGATTTTCTAATGTGAAAGTGAAGCTTTCCATTTTGTGCATCCGAAAAAATTCGGAAGAGGGTGTTACTGGGCGCCCACTTCACGAAGGGTTGCCATGGGGGTTTGCCATGTGAAGGAAAAGATGCGTTCAATTTGCTCTTCGAAGAGTCTATAGATCAAACACTATACTATACAGAATCTTGTCTTTGGAAGTCATATCACTCAACTGCCACCCTTTCTCACAACCCTTTGCTCCTCCCAAGGGTCCAAAGCGCCATTGTGAACTCCAGCCTGTGCAGGCTGGTGCTCAAGAATGTTGGAAAGTGCAAACCAGGTGCCTTCCACTGATCTGGGCTTGTCGGAGGGGTGGGGAATCCATCTTGATCAGCTGTACTGGGCTCCATCTGGGCCAGGGCTTGCCAAAAGGAAACAAAAGGAAACCAGAGATTTTTTTAAAAAAGATCAAAAACATGAATTTTGGCAGCCGAGAATTGGAGAGAGCACGGCCGAGAGTTGGAGAGAACAGCTGAGAACTGGAGATCCCTATTTCCCCTTAAACTTTTCTGGTTTTCCCATGTGGTGGCGAGATATATCATCTCGCGGGCAGCTACTTAAGGCTCATTTTGGTGCGCGCTGAATGGCGCTGGTTCCTACTCGCAGGGCGCGTGGCAAGTCATCGCCTGACGACCTACACATGGTGAGCAAAGAGGTGAGGAAGAGCAAGACTAAGAAGACTTCCAAAGCTGAGGCCAAAAAAGGCACAGGAAGCAAAGCAGGCAAAGGACAACAAGAAGAGGAAGAAGGAAAGGGAAGAGAAGGAGAAACAAAAGGAAAAGGAGCAGCAAGATGAGAAGAGCAAACGTGGAAGATCTGCAGGAGCTGATGGCAAGAAGAACGACCAAAAGTCCAAGAAGGAGAAGAAAGAAAGGAATGACAAATCGAAGGGAAAGGAGACTGTGGAGACTGCTCCAAAGAAGGCCAAGAAGACAGAGAGTGAGAAGAAGAGGAAGAATGCTCATGAAGAGAGCCGCGAAGAGGATGTGAAGATTGTCAAAGCGAAGACCAAAGAAAAGAAAAGCAAGAAGGACAAAGACAAAGAAGATGGTGAACCGCCAAAGACTGAGGACAGCAAGGGGGAAGAAGCGAAGAGCGAGAAGGCAAAGGTAGTCTCACCATCTGATACTAGCACTCCTTTGGCCACTCCTGTGAGGCACAACCGTGGTGTTGCTGATGCTGACTCTGAGAGTGTCTTCTCGCCTGCTTTGATTCAAGATGTGGCTGGTCTAAGACAAGCCCAAATCGAGGCAGCGAAGCTGGGAGTGTCTCTAGAAGACTACCTGACAAAAGAATCGGAGAAGGCGCTTGAGGCACTGCTTGAGGACCGCATGACATTACTGGCGGAGGAGCAGGAAGAAGCTGCGAAAACGAAGAAGGAACAGGAAGACAAAGACCAAGCAATGGAAGAAGACAAGAAGGACAAGAAGGAGGAGGAGGATGAAGAATCACACAGTGATTCAGAGGCGTCGACTGACTGTTCATTGTCAGTGAGCGAAAGCAGTGAAGATGAGGATGAAGCAGACGAGGAGGGGGAGACTGGGGAGAAGGAAGATGAAGATGAAGATCAAGATGAAGATAACGATGATGGCGAGGAAGAAGAGGAGGAGGAGGAAGAAGAAGAAGAAGAGAAGGAGGAAGAAGAAGATGACAGCAAGAAGAAGGGTGAAGCGCGCAAGGGCATCCTTAGGACATCCAAGCGTGCTGAGGAGATGGCTGAGAAGGACAGGAAGAACAGTATCTAGACTTTGAGAGTTTCAAACTTTCCCAGTTACATACAAATAGTGGCCTTTACTCTATCCCTCAAGTTTCCCAACCGAAAGAACTGCTGATGTTAATTGTCGGATGCTATTGTCGTTGAGCTCAGGTACTACAAACAAGAAGGAATGGGACATGTTCAGTCGACAGTGCTTGGACCGAAAGAAGTTCCCAGCCAGCCTTGCCCAGCACGTGCTGAAAAAACAAGACTGATGTCTTCAATGAGTGGCTTGAATGTGGAGGCGCATGGGAAAAAAGTCGCCTTGGTCTTTGAACGAAAGGTATCTCAGAGCAGGGAGGTAAAAAAGGGGCGAGGTGGAATGAAGCGGAGAGAGATTCTGCAAAAGTACCCCAAAGAGAGCCTAAGCTAAATAAACAGTTCTGTTTACATTCTATTGCCAGCTTTTGCTTCTTCAATACAATAGGATCCAAACAGCCCTGCGTGATGCCTTTTAGTAGCGCCCCACCCAGGAAAGGTGAAGACTTAATGAAGAGACTTCATGATCGAGGAATGTGGGAATATGATGAAGACTTTCCAAAGGACGAAGAGGAGCCTCTGGGCTACTCGGGTTTTGAGTGGTTACTAACGTGTTACAAGTGGCTTCTTTTAACTCTGATTGAGAAATCCCTTCCATTTCACCCAGAATATATTCTCAAAATCTCTTCCAAAAAATAGTTTGCGTCAAACCTCCAAACCTCACTGATCCCATAATCCTGCCAGGAGATCTACTACTTTGTTGGGTCTGCCACCGAGATCAGCAGCAAGACACAGGTAAAGGAGAGCGCTGCGGCTTCCATCAAAGACAATGCGCCAAACCCTGAAATGTTCAATGCGTTGACAGGGGATGGAGGTATCTTAGCCTCAGGTGTTTTGCCTGAGGTGGGAACTGCGACCGAAGAAGGGGCGAAAGCAGTTCATGAAGCTCTCAACGGAGAGACCACAAAGCTGAAGAAACCACCAAAGAAAAAGGAAAACAAGGAAGCTGAGGTGGTTGAACCAAAGGATGCGAAGACGCAGCTTTCCGAAATAAAACCAGAAGTCTTGAAATCGGCCACCGACGCAAGGAAGTATGCTTTGGCTTTGAAACATCTGAGCTACTCCGGTGAGTTGGTGAGTGGAATGATGAAGTTCTCAGAAAAGATGGAGGGTGTCTATGAGAAAGCTACTGCTTTGCTTGCAAGTGGGGTCAACGAGAAAGAGGAAAAGTTTGAGAAGCTCATGGTCATAATCAAAGATAAGCTCAATTGGTACAAGCAAGCTGAGGCGTGGATTGTGTTTTCTTAACGTGTTGGAGTTTCCAATGCCACACCATCAAACTGAACTCCGGTAAGAGCTCCTGAAGTTGTTGAGCTTTGGCTAAAGATCCATCTTTCTCTTCCCTCCCCACAGCCGTCATGGTCTTTCCAAACCTTGTCCCATTCCAGTCTGCGGCAAAAAAGCTTGCAAAGTGGCCTCACAAAGAAGAAGAAGGATGGAAAGACCAAGAAGTCGTCCAGCAAAGAGGAACCTGAGAGGGTCAAGTGAATCCTGTGATCGCGTGAGGTTTTGGGGTGAGAGGATCATATTTTGTCTGGGAATGTCCTAGCATCTCTGTTCTTCCAATGCAAAGTCTCTGAGTGAGAAAAGCGTTGTCGTTTATTTAGGGGTTCTTTGAGATGCCATGGGACTTAGACCCTAGACGCGTTTCCACGATCCGTTCGCACAGAAGCGCTCGAAGCTTGCGGCAAAAGAGTTGACGTCAGTCTCTCACACCTCCAGTTTTCTTCAGGATACTTCATCGTTTCCCACCGTGTTTTCACGTGAGCGTCCGACCCACACCCTGTTCCGAACAGACTGAACGTACTTCTCGAAAATGTCCGATGGCAGGTGCTGTGGAAAAAGCATTTTCTTCGTGCCCAAAGAGGTGGGTGGGAGTCTTTTGCTACCAAACAGGTGCCTATGCCGATGCCCTTCTGAAAATGAAACACTTCTGATGGCAGGATTCGATCAACTCGTTTTGAGAACCTGCCCCATAGCGAGTCTGCTGAATTGTTTCTCAGTCACTGTGAGCCA